AGCACTCTGGAAGGACCTGGAGAGAGCTTCCGAAGGACCTTCTGGAGAGCTTGCGGGCACGCGTATTGGGAAACGCTTAGAAAAAGGCCCTTCGGGACCCGCTGCAAGTTCAAGAAAGGAGCCTGGACCGCCGCCGGAACGATCTCTGGGGCTACCCTGCGGCTCCAGCTTCTTAATCTGAAGCCCTCTTTGCTCTCTGCGAGCTTATCCCTAATAAACATGATATCATAATAGCATGCCGCAAGGTTGAGTCGGGCATGCCCCTCTACGGGAGGACTGCTCACACATCGTCAAAAATAGTCCGGGGACGATGCTTCGATTATGTTTGACTATGTTTGCATACGATTCGGGTATGTTTTATTGCTCGTTCAAAATCCGCCTGTAGGGGACATGCCCGACCTAAACTTAGGGGGAGGGGGGATTAGGGGAACGAGCAATGGCATAAATGTAATAGCTCGGAGGTCCGCGCGGAGTTCTCGGATCGGCACTGGGGCCCCCCGGCGGCACCTCCAGCGCCGCCCTTGGCGCGGGGGGGGGGTCTGGCGCAGATCCGAGACATCCGCCCGGACCTCCGAGTTTCTGTGTTTATGTCATTGTTCGTTCCCCTATCCGAGCTCCGGCTCCTCTGCGATCGTAGGGGAACGAACAATGACATAAACAAAACAACTCGGAGGTCCGTGCGGAGTTCTCGAATCGGCGCTGGGGCCCATTGGCGGCGGTTCTGGCGCCGCCCCTCGCGCGCTGCGCGCGCCAGGGAGGAGGTTCCAGCGCAGATCCGAGAAATCCGCGCGGACCTCCGAGTTTCTATGTTTATTTCATTGCTCGTTCCCCGATCCCTGCTCCGGCTCCTCTGCCATAGTAGGGGGACGAACAATGACATAAACAAAATATGTCGGAGGTCCGCGCGGAGATCTCGGATCTGCGCTGGGCCCCCCTGGCGAAGCCTCCTGCGCCGCCCCTGGCGCGCTCCGCGCGCCAGGGTGGGGGTTCCAGCGCAGATCCTGGCGGCGCCTCCAGCGCCGCCCCTGTCGCGCCAGGGCGGGGGGTCTGGCGCAGATCCGAGAAATCCGCGCGGACCTCCGAATTTCTATGTTGATGTCATTGTTCATTCCCTTATTCCTGCTCCGGCTCCTCTGCCATAGTAGGGGAACGAACAATGACATAAACAAAATCATTCGGAGGTCCGCGCGTATTTCTCGGATCGGCGCTGGGGTCCCTTGGCGGCGCCTCCTCCGCCGCCCCTGACGCGCTCCGCGCGCCAGGGAGGGGGGTCCAGCGCGGATCCAAGAAATCCGCGCGGGCCTCCAAGTTTCTATTGGAGGTGAGGGGGTGAGATCGAAGTGGAACGGAGAGCCCCCCTACCGGGAAATCGATTTCGGTTTCGTGTTCGTGCGTGCCGTGCGGGCGAGGCGAAGCTGCGTGGGCGGGCGAGAGAAAGTCTCCTGTGGCTGAGGCGCGGCCGGACCAACTGTCTCCCTTCCGGGCGGCCGGGGCCCGCGGTGTCCCGCCGGTGTCCCGCTGGTGTCCCGTGTGGCTGAGGCGCGGCCGGACCAAATGACTCCCTTCCGGGCGGCCGGGGGCCCGCGGTGTCCCGCCCGTGTCCCGTCGGTGCCCCGTCGGTGTCCCGATGATGATGATGTTGATGATGATGATGATGGTGATGATGATGATGATGATGATGATGATGATGATGATGATGATGATGATGATGGTGTTGATGGTGTCCCGATGATGCTGATGATGGTGATGCGGATCGATTGTGAGATCGATAGTGAGGTCGAATGTGAGATCGATAGTGAGATCGATAGTGATATCGGTTGTGAGATCGAACGTGAAACCGAATGTGAGATCGATTGTGAGATCGGTTGTGATATCGATAGTGAGATCGATAGTGGTATCGGTAGTGAGATCGATTGTGAGACAGAATGGGAGATCGCTTGTGATATCGATGGTGATATCGATAGTGAGACAAATAGTGAGACCGAATGTGAGATCGATTGTGGGATCTATTGTGAGATCGATTGTGAGATCGATAGTCAGATCGATTGTGAGATAGATCGATTGAGATTGATAATGAGATCGATAGTGAGTTTGATAGTGAGATCGATGATGAGACCGAATGTGAGATCGATTGTGAGATCGGTTGTGATATCGATAGTGAGATCGATAGTGAGACCGAATGTGAGATCGATAATGATATCGAAAGTGCGTTCGATAGTGAGATCGATGGTGATACCGAATGCGAGATCTATTGTGAGATCGACTGTGATATCGAAAGTGAGATCGATAGTGAGACCGAATGTGAGATCGATAATGAGATCGATAGTGAGTTTGATAGTGAGATCGATAGTCAGATCGAATGCGAGATCGATTGTGAGATCAATAGCGAGACCGAATGTGAGATCGATTGTGGGATCGATTGTGAGATTGATTGTGAGATCGATAATCAGATCGATTGTGAGATCTATCGATTGAGATCGATTGTGAGATCGGTAGTGAGTTCGATAGTGAGATCAATCGAGTGCGACGTTGGTCCCTCCCCCCCTCACCTCCTTATCACCCGAAGGGTGGTCTATGCGGTATTTCTATCATTTGTCGTTTCCCTAGGGCTGGGCTCAGCGGTGGTGCATCTCTCTTGGCCTCTTGGCATCCTAGATGGGGTCCGAGTATATTGGGTCGGAGGATCACGTCGCATTGGCGGTGAATCAGCGATGCATCGGCGATGCGGCTCGATGTGGGTCCCACTTTCCTCCACGCCGAAGTCGCCGATGCGTCGCCGATGCATCGCCGATGCATCGCCGATGCATCGCTGACGCATCGCCGATGCGGCGTGATCCTCCAACCCCATCTACTCGAACCCCATCAAGGAGGCCTCTAATCTCGAGCAGTGGCGAAGCGTCCTGGCTTGCCTACGGACCCACCACCTGGTTCTAAGCTCCCTGCTATATTTTTTGATCACGGCATGTTCTTAACACATGTCTGGCCGAGACTGTCTTGGAATAACACGTCGGGCTGGTGTTCTGAGAACGTTTTTTTTGTTACAGTGGAGGCCCATGCCAAGAAACCCTGCTTGCCTCCAGGATGCGCTTGATTTCTTGGGTTTTGATGGTTTGTGGAAAGCGTGAGACCCCCACACGAAAAAAACAATGGACGTCCTGTGGTCTCAGGGTTGGGTTTCTTGTGGAAGGTTTCTTGTGGACTGGCCTCCACTGTATTAGATCACTGCTCGGTTTCAAGAGCGCTTCGTGATATGACCACAGGAGTGCCTCGACGGTCGGCCCCTGCTCAAACATCGACCCTGAAGCGCTTATTTCAGCGCCGAAGGGGGCCCGATGACCCACCCCGCCGGGAGCTTGCGGATTCGTTATCGGTGGCGCGTCGCGGAGCCATCGTCCATATACAGTGCCGTTTTTAATACATGCTCCGCGTGCGGATCCTGTATTAAAAATGCAGGGATTTAGTATTAGAACCAACGATGAGTTCATGCATAACTTTATTCATAACCTAATCATGCATAGCAAATCCTACATGTTTAAAAGTCCCATGTAATAAAAACTGCCCTGTACGTACCGCCGATGCAAGCTCGATGCACCCCCCCCTTGTGGGCCGGCCTCCCCCTGACGTTGCCCCTCGCGACATGGGGGGGGGGGTCGGTCGCCCGCCGAGCACCCTGTGCGCCCCCGTTGGCCTGGGCAGGTGCGCTCTCTCGTCCTCCTCCTCCTCCTCCTCCTCCTCTCCTCCTCCTCCTCTTCTCCTCCTCCTCCTCCTCCTCCTCCTCCTCCTCCTCCTCCTCCTCCTCCTCCTCCTCCTCCTCCTTCCCTCCTCCTCCTCCTCCTCCTCCTCCTCCTCCTCCTCCTCCTCCTCCTCCTCCTCCTCGTCCCCCTCCTCCTCCTCCTCCTCCTCCCTCCCTCCTCCTCCTCCTCCTCCTCCTCCTCCTCCTCCTCCTCCTCTTCTCACCAGAGCAGCGTGGACTTGTGTAGTTGTGGTGTGGGGCTGTCTTAGGGTTGCTGGTGGTGGTTGGTCGATGGTGTTTGGCGGTCGTTGAGGTCGTTTGTGGTCTGGGTTGCTGGTGGCCGCTAAACTTGTGCGTGTACAAGCGCTGCCTGCTTCTGTGCTGCAGAACGTGGCGACTCGTGCCTGGGGTGTTCCCTCGCATTCGGGACTTCCCCAGGACTTGCGTCCTAACGCCTCCTTCAAAACGTGGCAACGCTGCCTCAGGTGCTCCCACGCACTCGGGGCTTCCTCAGGACTTGCGTCCTGACGCCGTTGGGATGGTTGTCGAAGACTCTCGTCGTCGCGACCACTCTCTCGACTGGAGGTGTCGCTTCGTCCTGAGAGGTGGCTTGCTGCGTCAGTCGAGACAGGGCTGGCTGGGCAGCTCCCTATGCCCTGGCCGATTGGGGATTGTCCTAGGCCGTCCTCACAATCTACGTAGTACGCGTCGAAGATGTTCAGGTTCTGGCTGGTCGGCGCTGCGCTTGCTGCTCTGAGACCCCATCTGGCCACAATGTTGCAGTCGAGCAGGCCGGCGATGGCAAAATCGATCTCGGCAGCGTTTATTGTCGTCAATCTGTTGCGCAGGTCGTCGCGGATCCCGTTGTCGAAGATCCGTGTGGCGCCGAGGTCGTAGTGCTGTGCCGAGGTCTCGCTGACCGTCGTCTGCTTGGCGATACGCTGGTATCAGGGAGTCTGTCTGCAGGTCGACTCGGCCGCGATGGCGGCGACGAAAGGGGCGCGGGTGGTGTTCGCTGCGAAGAGCATCCGCAGGACCTCTCTAGTGGCGTTGTTGGCGGCGAAGATTTTCGGCGATAGTCTCGGAGGTATCTGGCGGTCCCCAGGGAGCCGCTGGGGTGCGCCGCCTGCTGGCCCTGTTGCCCAGATCGTCGCTGGCGTCGTGTCGGTGCCAGGTCCGTCGCGGGAACTCTGCGTAGATGGCCGCGATCTCGCCGTGTATGATTTTTTGTTGTACCCGCCGAAGTTCTAGTAGTGGTGCTGGAGACTGGCCGTCGCTGTGGGTTGAGATCGAGCTGTAGTCCAGACCGCTGTTGCAGGTGATCCCGCTGTTGGCCATGATCTGCTGGGGGTCAGCGGCCTGTCGAGGGCGGTCGGTGATGAAGACGACCTCCTGGCGCTCGGCCGGTCCAGCAGGCGTGCTCACGGGAGGCCTGCTGGGCGAGGACTCGAGTCTGGCGAATATTCTAGGTGCCACGGGTGACGTCTCCAGGAGCGGCAGCGGCGTGACATCGCATTGGTAGGCTGGCTTGTCGCTGAATGTCGAGCGGCGTCCTTGCTTCCTGTTGGCGGTCGTGGCCTCGGCGATGGCGTTGAAGTTCGCGGCGAGCTGCTGCTCTGTCAGAGGCCCCATCGTCTGGTGGTGCCAGGCGTGCCAGGATTTGCGGCAGCGGTGGGCCACCGAGTGGTGCTTCATGAGCTTCGGGAACGTGTGGTGCTCGGTCTGGCAGCAGCGGCATGCAGTGCCAGTAGCCCAGAAGCGCGGGTCCGTGTGGTCGGGATGATCCCTGCCCATGTGGACAGCCATGCCTTGCTTGGTGGCGATACGGCCGCAGACCTAGCATACGTACTGCTGGTTGTTAGTGCCGTCGCGCTGGTCGAAGTCGCCTGCGGGAGCCACTGCAGGGAGCATCTGGATGTCCTTCTGGAGCTTGGCGTTCTGGGCCTGATCGCGCGCGTGGTGGAGGTAGGCTTTCACCGCCGCCGTGACCGCATTGGTGAAGGGTTTGGGCTTCTGTCGGGCCCAGCTGATGACGTCGCAGTCGTACTGGGTCTGGCTGGGCCACCTTTCTCGCGGGAGGTACTTTCGAAGGAAGTCGAAGTCTCTCTTGAGCTGGCGGCTCCAGGTGCCCTTTCGTTGGCGCTGGCCGTCGAGAAGCTGAAGTAGTGCGGCGGGGGCGTGGTTCAGCAGTCGCGGTAGGTATCGCAAGTGCGCTGCCGTCTGGCGGGTGCTGAAGTCGGGGGCGCCTGTCCTGGCGACCGCCTCGGCGTCGGCGATGTGCTGATCGGGCGAGTTGGTCTTGGGCATCGAGGCTGCCACGCGGTGTGGCCCCATGTACTTGGTGGCGATGTGCTTGAGGCCCTTCTGAGCCAGATCGCCCCAGACGTGGTGGTTGTAGGTCAGCGAGGAGCTCGAGAACGAGTGGACATACTTCACCTTGGCTTTCTTCGAGGGCTTCTCGCGGCGGAGGATCTGCTTCTCGAGAGGCCGGGCTGCTCCGTGCGCGCGGTTTACCCTTGCACAAATCTCGGGCCCCGTGACCCCACCCGCTGCGATGATGGTTCCGAGGGATTTCTGCTGGATCACTAGCTGCACCTTGATCGAGAGGCCGTCCAGCTCGAGGTGGGTGATTCCCTCCTTGGCGATTCGCTGTTTCTCCTTCCTGTCTCTTTCGCCGTAGTGCATGAGAATGGCCTTGGTCTTGTCGGGGCGTGGCTTCAGGCCGTTCTGGAACGCTGCCGTGCAGAGCCTGGTGGCCGCTAAGGTCGTCGTCTGGATCAGGTCGCCGGCGTTGTCGGTGGAATTGTCGCCCGTAAGGTCGTCGACGAAGGACTGGTTCCTGAGCGCGCTTCAATCGTGGGGGGCCGCCGAGAAGAGCGGGGCGCTGCAGGCCTCGATCTCGTGGCCACCTGTCGGCTGGCCGTCGGCCTCGTCCGCTAAGGCGGCCTGGTCGCTCGCCCTGAGCACGATGGCGAAGTGGGCGTTGAAGGCGACGTCGGGGTACGGCACTCCAGGTCGGGTGCTGGCCCGAGGCAGTTGGTAGTGCTGGGCGTTCTTGGCTGTCATCCAGTTGGTGGCATGGTGGTCCGCGATCATGTGGCAGAGGTGGTCGTCGCCAATGTGCGGATCATTGTAGGCAGGCTGCTGGAGTCGTTCCTTTAGCGCTGGTCTGAGAAAGTCGGGGATGACGATTATTTCGATGAGGTCGTTGAGCTCGTCGGCGGAGGTTGGCAGCTGCATGCAGAACTCCTTGATGACTGAGTGGAAGGCCTCCCGAATGTCCAGGAAGGCGATGCTGCAAGATCTGGACCTCTCTTGGCAGTCGCTGATGAAGGCGAGGCTGGTGTGGGTGATGAAGTCCGTCGCCATCTTTGGTCGGGCACCGCTCTGGGTCGCTTCTAGGAGCTCTGGTAGCAGGCCCTTCACGCGCGAGCGGAGGAAGCCGCTGTGCATCTTGCCGATGGTGTTGTTGAGCAGGATGCCGCGGTAGGATTTCTGCTGCTCCATGGCCCCCTGGCCCTTGTGGAAGGGCGTAGAGTACCCGCCCTTGGCGGCGATCGGCTCAGTGCACTCGAAGTGGATCTTGACTAGGACGGAGCGAAGCAGACGAGCCATCCTTTCGGGGGCAGCTCTGGACATGTCGTCGGTGAGCTGGTCGGGGCCGCCTCGGCGTCCTCGCTTGGCGGCGGCGAGCTGGCTGGTCAGCTGGTGCTTGGGTGTGATGTTCTGGATCTTCGGTTCTGGTCCCTCGCTGCTGGTGCGCTTATTGTAGTCTGCGGCTACCCCGTCGGCGTCCGCGGCGATGGCCTGCTCAATCTTGCAGTAGTAGGCCAGGGCGTGGTCGGCGATCCCGCTCTTCGTCGTAAGGGGCTTCCCGTCGTTGTTGCTGCGGATGGGGGGCGTCGGCGGTTTCTTGGGCTTCCGACCTCCGAAGGCCAGGAGTCGCTTGGCGTGCAAGGCCTCCTCGCGCGGGGCGTGGTCGTCGATGGCAGTGCCCATCTCGTCGGCGGTCTCATCGAGGAAGGCGCCCCGGTCTCTCGTGATCCACTTATGGAGGGTAGGCTTGGATGTTCTGAGGAATTCAACGAGGGCGTCGAAGTAGCGCTGGGCACTGTCCGCAGCGTCGGATGCGTCGGCTGCCTCGGCGCTGGCCGCCAGGCTGGGAGTGCTGAAGGCGAGGGAGGCCACCACGAGCTTCGCGCAGTCGCTGAGGTCGGCTAGGAGTCCCGCGTCGGCGGGGTAAGGTAGCAGAGCGCCCTTCGCGATGAGCTTGGCCGTGTAGCGTAGTCTCTTCGCGCCGAAGTGGCTGGCGACCCCGTTCTTCTCGGCGATCCGTGTCGTCTTGAGCAGCGAGCGGCGAACCCGCAGGAGGGCGAATGAGCGCTTGGTGATGTAGGGCTTGTGTGGGGCGCGGCCGTGTGAGCGGAAGCACTCGTGGGCGGCCTCCGTGATCTCCACGGTGGCAGTGGTGAGGTGGTCATTAAGATTGGTGGCCCACGGCGGGCGTTGAACTGCGCTGAGCTTCTGGCTGAACTTCTTGCGGCATTCTTCGTCGGCAAGCTTGCTCTCGTCTAGCTTGGGGATGCCTTTGGTGACAGATGAGACGATCTCGTAGGCGAGCTGCAGTTTGACGGGGTAGTGGTCGCCCTTGGTTTCTGGATCCTGGCCGCCGTCGATACCGTAGAGCACGGAACACGCGTCGATTGAGTCGATGTAGCTCTCGGGGATGATGACGTAGTCGATGCGGTGCGGGTCCTTGCCCGAATGCCAGGTATGGCGCTCGGGCCCGTGACTGACGAAGGTATTGGCGGCCGCGAGGCGGTTGGGCAGGAGCTCATGAAGGCGGCGGCCGTTGGGGTCCTCGTTTTGCTGGAAGCCTTGGTCGCCGATGGCCGCGCTGGCGAGGTTGCCTGTCCTGGCACTGGCGTCGAAGAAGATAATGCTCACTTGGTATTTTTCGGTGGCCTCCGTGAGATTCTGCCAGTAGAGAACCTTCTCGGGCTCGAGGGCCTTCGAATGCGGGGCGTGGGCAACGGCCAGCACGTGGTTAAAGCCAGGGGCCGTGACGCGGACGATGAGGAGCATGGGGTCCTTTTCGATGACGGTGAATTGGTCGGGTTTGAAGTAGAGCTCCTTCTTGTCGCACTTTCCGTAAGGCTTGCTGAGCAGGACGTGCAGTTCGCAGCCGTAGTTGAACCCCTTATGGCCGCTAGAGATGATGTGGTAGCTGTTGACGTTGGCGCATCTGGCCTCGTCATCCTGTTTCGCGTCGCGCACGCCCCAGGGCGTCCTGGCCTCCTGGATACCGATGATGTGGGGGTCCTCGTCGCACAGGCTGGCCATAGTGGTCTTAAGCTTGTTGGTCTTATCCTTTCTTCGCTTCGATCCTTCCTTGGGCTCCCGGCCTGACTGGATGTTGAAGGTTGCGATGTTGATCTCGACTTCGGTCTTCCTGTCGCTGGACTCGGTTGGCTTGTGGAAGTGTCGGGCCTCGGCGGTCGTCTCGACCCTGCTGGCGGTGTGCTGGCGGTGAGGCTGCCGTGGCCGAAGTCGGGGTAGGCCTCCCGAGCGTTGGGGTCCGCGTCGAGCAGGAACTCCCAGCCCCGCTGGAATGCGCCGTCCATGATGCTGGCCCACTCGGGCTGGGGCACTGGAACTTCTCGTAGGCGTCCGCGGTTAGCAGCGGCGTCATCAGCAACCTCGTTCCACGGATTGTGTTCGTGGGCGTGGACGTGCTGCAGGTCAATCTTCGGGCTGACCATGTCGTAGAACATGCAGAGGGCCCTGGCGAGGTTGGGGTCATGGGCGGTGAAGGCGAGCCTCTTCGCAAGCTGCAGGGCGCCGAGCGAGCCGGTGAATATCGTAGTGATGCAGTCAGGGTTGTAGTGGGGCACCCAGGCGAAGGCCCAGATTGGGGCGGTGATCTCGACGGTCGTGGAGGTCGTCTCGTGGTCGCTGCCATCCTGGAGGGCGACGTCGGTGCCGCTCTTGTGCTTTCCGACGATGGCTCCCTGGAAGCTGAAGCCGTGGTTGTCATCGCCGACGATCACCACAGACCAGGCGTCGTCGCCGGGCTGCTTGGGGTGTTTGGAGCCGTCGGTGAAAAGGTGGATCTTTGCTTCTTCCTGGAGTGGTCGCTGTGGATGGTGACGGAGCATGTAGTCGGCTGTCTCGTTGAGGCTCTCGTCGCAGAAGTCAAAAGGTGAGGTCGGGAGGTAGAGTCTGCTGGAGTGTTTGTCGGATGGTCGGTCGCTTGTCGAAGTGCACGTTACGCTGCTGAAGCGGTAGGGGTGGCGTGGCGGGTGCTGTTGTTGACTGGCCAGGTGGTGCTGGAGGCTTGGCATTGGTGGCTCCGAAGGGTTGAGTGGCCTTCCCTCTCGCTGGTAGCGGGCGTTGGCCTGTAGTGCGAGGTGATGTTTGGGCATCGGTCGGGTGCGTCGAGGTTGGAGGGAGCGGGGTGGCAGAGGTGCGCGAGCGGAAGGGTTGTCTGGCGCATCCCTTGGTGGTTTGCCTGGTGTCGAGATAGGTTGCTTCGACGTCGTGGATCTCTCGTGGATCTATCCAGGTCGCGGCCGCAGGAGCAGGCGGAGCTGCGTCGGCGCCTCTGGGCGTGTGCGCCGCGTCTTGGCAGCGCATCCAGGGCATCCGCAGTGGTGCCGCTGTTGGGCCTGTGGCGTCGGTAATCCTGGCCTCTGGTGGGCCGTCTGAGGTCCTGAGGGGCTATCTTGCGGAAAAGGTGGCTGAGCTGGTGGGCCGGCCTCGGGGAGTCTCCGGGTCTTGGTGCTGCTCCGCAGGTGGCTGCAGTCCTTGCTGCGGCCGCAGCTGCAGGCCTTGCTGCTGCTGTCGTCGGTTGGTCTCCTGGTAGGACGCCTCGGCGGGCCGTTCTGGATAAAAAGCGTTCGGCGCCTTCGAGCCAAAGTGGCTGGTCGCCTGGTTCGCCCTTTGCTGGGCTCCTCCGTGGAGGGCGGGCCGGTCGGGTCGATGGGGACTGGCCCCGTCTGGCCTCGCTGGCCGCCTCAGTGGGGTTGTTGGTGCACTGCTGTGGTCGGCCCAGGGGATGGTCCCGGGTCCGAAGGTCGGTGCCATCATGGTTGCTGGCGCCTGCGGGCTGCCAGGGGCGTGGTCCTGATCTCGAGGCGCCGCGGCTGAGTAAATTGCCCACTCGCTGGTAGTGCTGAAACTAGTCCTTTTATTGGTTTTAGTTTTTTGGTGTCGCTGTCGCTGGTTGTGGTGTGCTAGGTTGCGCTGCAGCTGGCGTCGCGCGGCGCGCTAACCCACAAGCTAACGCCGCTGAGGCGGTCGGCGGGCTCCCAGGTGGAGCATGTGGCTGTTGAAGCGCCTGGGCCTGTCGCTGAGTGGCTGGCACCGCACGGGTCGCGCAGCTTGTCTGCTGGGGCACAGTGGATGCTCCGAGGAGCTGGTAGTTACGTATAGCCACTCTGAGCGGGCTAGCTGCTCGGTCTTCTGGCGAGGTGGTGTTGGGACCCCCCCGCTGGGCCAGTCGCCCCCCAGCGGGGGCAGTCCTGCTCAGTTTTGCATCGTGCCCGAACCTGAGCCCGAGCTGCCCTCCTGCCCTTCAGGGTTGAAGCGCTTTCGGTCCAGTGGATTGTCGAATCCGTCGCCGTCGTCCAGGATGCGGACCTTGTGCGCTGGCCTGCCGTGGGTGCTTGTCCTGCGGGGGGCCGAAGGTGGTGCATATCTGGCTCGGTCAGGAGTGGCGATGTGGAAACGCGCGGGCAGGGGCTTCGGGGAAAAAAAGGCTGGGTGGGTGCGAATGGGGAGCCGTCTTCGAGCGTGATCCGGGGACGTGGGGGGGGGAGCCTGGGTTCCCAGGTAGGGTGGTCTGTGCGTTCGTCGGTCGGAAGGGTCGTGGGGAGTCGGGATCGTCGGGGAGCGGCACGGACTGTGCACGCGGTGGGGGATCGGCCAGGGGGGTCGGGGGTGGCAGGAAGGGCCCTGCCCCCCAGGGCGCCCCTGGAGTCGGTTGCTCGTCGGGGGGGGGGGGGGGTGGCGATGCCTGGGCCGTCGGCGTGTGCGTCAGGATGCCGAGGTCGCGGTCGTTGGGGTCATCGAAGCCTTGGTAGTCGGCTTGTCGTTGTTGGGGTGGGTTGGGCGTCGCTGTCCAGAAGCTTTCGTTCGTCTTCGGGGTCTCGGTGGGCGTTCCGTCTCCTGCTACTGGTGTCGGAGAGACTTCCGTGGGGGACACGAGGTCGATGGGTGGGTCGAGTTGTTGCGGTGGTGGCGTCGCAGGCGGTGGGGGCGGCGGTGGCTGCTGTGCTGGTGCCTGCGGCCGCGGGCTGTTGTGCTGGTCGATGGCCTGGTCGAGCTGCTGCTTCAGTGGGTGCGATCCGTTGTGGCCGAGCACGGCGGAACGGTCAACGAGGCTCTCGCTCCCGCAGTGCCTGCACCTAATGATCTCCGTCTGGCAGCTGGTGTACTTCCCGCAGGTCTGGCAGTGGCTGCAGTAGAAGGGCGACGTCAGTTCTCTCGACGATCCCGAAGATGAAGGAACGCCACGAAGTGCTGCCGCCTTCGGGGTGGCCATCTGGCCAAGCTCGGCCACGTCGTAACCGAGCTCGTGCGACGGGGCGATGGCGTGGAGAGCGGAGCGCATGTAGTCCCGTTGGTGGGCCTCTTCCTCGTCGGCTTGGGCTCGCATATTCTGCTTCTCGGTGTCCGCGGTGACGGCGCTGACGACGCTGTCGAGCATGTCCGCGTCGATCCTGGGCGCGATGCCGCCGAGCTGTTCCCTCAGGGTCTTCTCGAGGAGTACGTGGTGCACACGGTGCTCTTCCTGCTGTCGGACCAGCTGTTTACGGTGATGCTTTTCCTGTGCTTGTCGTTGTGCGAATGCGGCTCGTGGCTCCGTGTCGGCGATCTGTTGTTGCTGGTGGATCTCCGCCTCGTACTGGCCGTATCTCTCCAGGAACTGCTCGCGTTGGTGCTGGTCGTGCTAGGTCTTGCGCTGCAGCTGGCGCTGGAGAGCCTGCGCCTCGTTGAAGAAGAGCTGGTGCTGTAGGGTTGCTCGCTGGTGCGCTGCTTCCTTGGCTTCAAGCTGGTCGTGCTTGTTATGGATGTGGCGCTGCGCCTCGAGCTGGAGCTCCGGCTGCCGTTGGACCACCTCGCGCTCCTTCTGGACCGCGGAGTGCTCCTCCAAGAGCTGCGTGGCCGCGATGGCCGACTGCTTGTGGAGCACTTGCTCGCGGTGGATCTCCTCTCGTTTTAAGTCTGCTTGGGCCTCCGCGATCTGCTCGGCGATCTCGATTTTCCTTTGCATCTCCTGGGTTGCCATGACGTGTACGGCCTGCTCCTCGAGGTGGAGGTCCTGGTACACCTGCTCGAGTCTCTGGCCCTCGCGCTGCAGACGATCTTGCTCGCGATGGAGTTGCTCACGCTGTGCTTGCTGGTTGGCTGCTTCCTCGGAGGTATTTGCAGTGCTGGTCTGGGTGGCAGTCTCCGCGCGGATGGCGTCGAGCATGGCGTAGGCCTCCTGGCGCTTCTGCTCGTATGTGATCTTCTGGCGCTCTAGGTCGTACCTCGTCGCGCGCTCGTGGTTTTCCATCCTCTGCGTTTCGTGCTGCAGCTTCTCGGCGTGGACCTGGTGGACAAGCTCTTCCCGCTGCTGGAACTCGCGCTCTTGCTGTGCTTCTTGACGGCGGAGTGCCTCGCTGTTCCTTGATATGGCCTGCTCCGTCGCGTTCAGTGCCTTCTGGGAGAGCTCTTGCTCGTGGTGCTCGAGCCTGTCGCGGTTTTGCATCTTCATCTCTGCGAAGCGCTGGCGCATGGTTTCGACCTCCTCCTCGTACTTTTCGGTCTTCCTGCGGAGCTCGGCGTTTGCGATTTGGAGGTGGTTGCTCCTCCCTCGGCACGCTTCTTCCTCCTTATGCTTAAGCTGCTCCACGATGCTGGTCGATGGTGAGGTCGGCCTGCTCGAGCGCGAAGATGGAGGCTCTCGGCTGGCACGGCGGCGGAATGGGGCATCGGCTCTCTTGGTTTTGTATTGCTTTTGGTCATCCTCAGAGTCAGCGTCGCAGTCCGCGTCGGCTTCGGCGGCTATCTCGAGCTTGACGTCCGTGACGAGGCGCTTCAGGTCCGCGATGAGCTTAGTGTTGAAGTCCGCCTTGGCCTTCAGAGCTTTCGTGCTTTCCGGAATGTATGTCTGTTCTTTTGCTGGCGCTTCGATCTGAGATCGGTAATTTTGAAGCCGTACGCGTGGGTCAGTAGCCATCGCCAACATGCATTTGATGACCGAGGCCTCCGCTATAAGTTTGCTGGCGTCGACCTTGGCGGACTGCGCGCCGTGAATCTGGTCGGCGGCTCGACCGAGCCGCTGTTGAAGGCTCGTCGTCCAAAGCTTCCTCATGTCGGGGTCCTCTAGCGGCAGGCCGAAGGATTCGTGGTCACGGGATTCGGGGCACGGGAGCTCTAGCACGGAGTCGGCGATGGCCTGCTGCTCCTTGCTGAGGGTGTGCTCTTGGATGTTCACGGCGGCTTTCTTCCTGGACTCTGAGCGATTCCAGGAGCTCCTGTTCTTGGCGGCTTGCTTCCTGGACTCTGAGCGATTCCCTGAGCTCCGCCACGGCCACGGTTGCGCCCCAACAGCAGGCCCAGGGTGTGTGGTCCCTGCTCCTGACCACCTTTCCTTCCAGGCGCCGCGGGGCTGCTGGTGCTTCCAGCTCTGTGCCATCTTGTCGACGGGTTGGGCTGAGTGATGGTTTGCCAATAGTCGGGAAGCTTCGACGACCTTCAGCAATGTCCTGGCGTGGCCCCGCGCAATGCGGGCCCTCCTGTGCCAACTTTCTTCTTTCTGCCTGGGCGTTTTACTCTCGCCTAGGCGTCGCCGCGGCGGCGCTTCTCTTTGACTTTTCTTTTCTTCTTTTATGGCGCCGCGGCGCGCTGGCCCGGGCTGACGGGGCTGGCCGAATGAGGGGACGACACGACCCCACGCGGCGGCGGGCCCCTCCTCAGCCCGTGGTTTCCTCCTCCTCCTCCTCCTCCTCCTCCTCCTCCTCCTCCTCCTCCTCCCTCTTCTCCTCCTCCTCCTCCTCCTCCTCCTCCTCCTCATCCTCATCCTCCTCCTCCTCCTCCCTCCTCCTCCCTCCTCCTCCTCCTCCTCCTCCTCCTCCTCCTCCTCCTCCTCCTCCTCCTCCTCTCCTCCTCCTCCTCCTCCTCTCCCCCCCCCTCCTCCTCCTCCTCCTCCTCCTCCTCCTCCTCCTCCTCTTCTCCTCCTCCTCCTCCTCCTCCTCCTCCCTCCTCCTCCTCCTCCTCCTCCTCCTCCTCCTCCTCTCCTCCTCCTCCCTCCTCCTCCTCCTGGGTGGGGGGGTGGGGGGGCGCTGCGGGGCCCAAGGCGGCGCCGGGAGCGGGGCGGGGCGGGCCGGCGGGGCCCGCAGGCGACCCAGCGCTCCGACGAGCCCCCTCGCTCTTGTCGCTGCTGCCGTGGCGCTGGTGGCGGCCGGCGGCGGCGGCCTGACGGCGCGGCCGCCGCCCGAGCGCGGGCGGCCCGAGGGCGGTGCGAACCCCCTGTCCGCAGCAGGGGGCAGGAGAGCAGAGGAGGAAGATCAAGCAGTGGCGGAGCGTCCTGGCGCGCCTAGAACCCTGCCAAGCAATGTTCTAAGAAGAACCTTCTCTGGCTTGGCGTGTCTGGAACATCGGCAAAGCCTGTCCTGTTTTATCACATCGGGCTTCCGTTCTAAGAACATTGCTTTTGGTTATTAAAGCATTTTTGGGGTTCTAAGAACATGTCGTGGTAGGACTGTAGGAATGCCTGGACGGTCGGTCCCTGCTCAAGAGGGGGAAGAAGTGCCCATACCTCCCCCCCCCGCTTTCCCCGTTTTGGGCCGCCTGGGAGGCCCTCGTCGCCACCGCCGGAGTCGCCTCGAAATCCTGGTCAGAACGCACCCCGGGAGAGGTCCAGGGAGTAGCGGTATGGGTACTTTTGGGTTTCCCTGGGAGAGAGCCCGTTGGCGAGCGCGCCAGCCGTGGGGGGGGGGGGCACGATGGGGAGGCGAGGAACGGGGAGCATGGTTTGCTTGCTTCTCTCGAGGCCAGCACTCGTCGCGGCCAGGCGTGGCTACTACATCACATGTGTGGTTGCGCTGTCGTCCGATCGCAGCGAGACTTGCCGTGCCGACCTCTGCGTGGGCCATGTGGGTGCTGGATGCAAGCTGCCAGCCGTGAGCCTGCGCGGGGGAGCGGAGGGGGGGGGGGATGCAAGCTGCCAGCCGTGAGCCCGCGCCGGGGAGCGGGGAGGGGGAGTCGGAGAACGGGAGGAGGAGGAGCAGGGCCTCCTTCCCCGGCCCTCTCCTGCGTCCTGGGGCCGCGAGCCCCCGCCCCCGCGTGGCCTCTGGGCGGGCGGGCGGGGCGTGCAAGGCGGAGGCGGAGGCCGAGGCCGGGGCCGCGGGGGCCGGGAGCCGCACGCGGCCCCCCGTGCTCTCCCGAGGCGCTCGGGGCCGCGGAGCCGGGCCCTGGGCCTCCCGAGGCCCCCGGGGCCGCAAGCGCGGGCGTCTCGCGGGGGCCTGCGGCGAGCGCGCCGTGCTGCGGGGCCAGGGCGAGAGCGAGTGTTGAGTTGGGCCTGCCCCCCTACAGGGGAATGTTTGGGGGAAAGAATCAAAGCATACCAGCAAAAAATACCCCCAAATGGTCAAACAATGCTCCAACAATCGTCCCCAGAGCATTTTTTTGCTATGTTTGATTCTTCCCCCTGTAGAGGGACAGGCCCGACTTGAAGCAAGTGCGAAAGCACAGGCAGCAGACGCGCTGGGGAGCCGCACAGCTCGAGGGGAGGTCGTCTCCACATCGCGAGAGGGCCGCCGTCACCAGGCTGGCCATGAAGAGGGCCGCCGCCACCAGGCCAGCATGATAAGAACGGGCAGGAGAGGACGGAGAAGAGGCCGAGTCCGACCCCTTGGCTCCGGAGTTAGCGCCGCTGCGACCGCTGGGAGCACGGCGAGGGCTCTCGCGAAGAGCACCGCCACCGGGAGTACTGCTGCGAGCGCGATTGCGCCCGTCTCCCGCCGATCCTGTCTATGCCTCTCTCAGGAGGGGGAAAAAACACACACACACACAGACATAATGAATCGGCGATTCCCAGAAAATATGGGAAAACTATGGGAAGTTGGGGGGAAGACAAAAACCCAGAAAATATGGGAAAATATGGGGGATATTTTTATTTGTGTGTATTTATTTGTGTGTGTCCCAGTTCCCCTTCACTCTCTGCCTCCCTGCCAAGTCTCGGCGCGCTGGCCAGAGGCAGCCAGGCGGGTCTCGATGAGCTGCAGCCAGAACGAGAGCGACAGCTTCAAGGGGAGACGCAGCTGAAACGAGAGCTAGAGCTTCAAGAACATGTGCTGGCGCAAGGAGCGCTACAGGAGGGACGCAGCTTGAAGGGGAACTACTTCTGCGAGGAAAGTCAGAGCCTGAATAGGAACCACAACCACCAAGGCGGCTCAGGCCAGAACGAGAGCTACGGCCTGAGAGTGGGACCTGCAGCCAGAAGAAACGCACCCTGCGCGAGGGCTACAACCACCACCAGAGGTACAGCCTATGAGAAAGCGACCGCCCGTAGGAGGGGAAACCACAACCTGGAGTAGAGCCACAGCCGCCCAGAGAGCCGCGACTGGCAGGAGAGCAGCAGGCGCAGCGAGAGCTAGAGACTGGCAGCGAGCTCCAGCTGCTACGCAGAGAGAGAGAGAGAGAGAGAGACAGCCTGTGGAAGCGGAGGGCGAGAAGGAGGATCACGAGGACGCCGAGAGGGGGACTCCCATGACTGCTAGGCTTCTTCCGTCTGCGTCCGCCCGCGGACCTTCCACAGCCGCAGCCCGCAGCGTCGGCACCGAAGCTGCTCTGAGGTCGCGCCACCGCCAGCTGGTAGGCTCGGGCCGATTCGCAGACGACTCTCTTCCCTGTTCCGGTGGGCGCGCGGGGCCATTCGGCGAGTTTTGCTCGGGAGCGGCCAAGAGGGGCGTGAGGACTACAGTTGGGGCGCTGAAGAAGGAACCTTTTCCGTTGGGGAGGGGCTCGGTGTTCCTTGATTGTTTTGCAGTTTGCCTTGGGGTGTCCTAAGGCTTTCCATGTGAAATCGAAGTTTAACTTACGGGGCGCAAAGGGGCCTCGTTCCTTATTTGGGGTTCCTTAGGTCAACGCCCCGACTGTAGAGGGGGTGCGCACCATGACTCAGTTCGTAATGCATTTCGGAACTAAGCAGCCAGAGCGTTTGTGTTGCACCCGCTACGTAAGACCGTTGTGCCCGCGCAGTCGGCAGGCACACTTCACCGTTGGCGCAATGCGATCTTGCCCTGTTGCAAATGTTCGTTGTTATTGCGTTCCGTTGCACCGTGGCTCCGAGCGTCCCGTGGCTCGAGGCTCCATGTTCCCGTGGCGGCCCGCGGTTTCTCGGCATTCTGGCCCGTGACCTCAATGGCCGCGTGTCCCCGCGATGCCGCGGCTCGCGGCGCCGCGGCGCCGCGGCGCATTTGCACCGGGGCCGATCGCGAAAACCTTGCGGTGCCAAATGGTGTCGGGCCTCGAGATCCGAGAGAACACATGACGCTGACCATGACATTCCCATAGAACGCATAGCACGGGCACGAGTTTTCCGGGAACACATGGCCACGGCCATGAATTCCGAGAGAACGCATGACATTGTCCATGAGATCCCCAGATACCACATTGCACGGACACGAGTTCGCCAGGAACACCTGGCATTGGCCAGGAGTTCCGCGAGAACACATGGCATTGGCCGTGAAATTCCCGGAAACCACATGGCACGGACACGAGTTTGCCGGG